TCACTGCAGAAGTCTATGCTGCTATATATTAAATAAATTGCTACGCATTGCATATAGTACACTTGGTTTGCTTAATACTAGTGTTATTATTACTTATTAATCCAATTGATCAAATAAAGTTTATAATTATAAGCATGTTTGTAATTCATATATACAAGATTAATTTTATTGCATATCAACCATTAGATGGTAGAATTAAAAAGAATATACTAGAAAAGGTTTAAGAAAATTTATAAATTATAAATACAAAATTAATCTAAATGAATAACAACCGTTAGATGGTAGAATATCCTAGAATATCCAAGCATATTCTAGGTATATCCAATACCATCCCAGTCCCCCTATAGGTTTGCTTAAGCAAACCAAAAAAACCCACTCTCTGAATACTTGCATTATCTGTGGCAGCACATGAATTCTAGTTTCAACCAGCCCAAAGTTCTCTTGATCACTTTAATATTACACATTTAATTGGAAGCATTTGCTACTCTCCCACTGTTTCTTTTGTTCATCAAAACTCGTCCTAACATTTCCCCCACTAACACCACAACAACAATAGAGTCCATGACACACACCATCCTATTTCCCCACCTCCAGTCTGGATATAATGTCTACACATAAAAGTGATAGGTATGCAACCTGGCACACAAAGAGAACCTATAGGATATGTACCAATTACTTCACATATAACGTTGTCATCTTCCCTCTGACAGTCGGCAAATCCATGATTTGGACAAAAACCATCTTTTCCAACTAATAAAACAGGGTGTTTCTATGAACCATCTCATTACAGCTGATGTTCCTGCACAAGAATGTGCTATTGCAGAAAAAACTTGCCAAATAATAAACCAGGAGCGATTTGAGACATATGTGCTGGCTAATGCACTAGCTGCTCCAATAAAAATACTAACCAAGCACCTGTAGTGGAAGAGAGTAGCGATTCCAATAATAACTGTAAAATCAGTTTAGCAATAGTATTTTACACAACTGTTCTAATATTACCTCCAATAATATAGCCACCTGAAGAATAGAAGTTGCCCTGAGGGAGCAGGAAAACAGATAGTTTCCTTGGGAAAAGCTGGGAACCCCAGTAATCCCAGGGAAGAGAAAAGGTAAAAAAAGAAGTTCTGGAAGACAAGCACAGCAAAAACCACACCCTACTGATAAAAATGACAAGTGAAGCAAACAAGTTGCCAATATCTTATGGCAGAGTATTTTGGCCCAATTTTTGCATAGAATATGATGTAAAACCCCTTAGTGCATTGCAGTCTCTTTGACAATAAAGAACACCATTTGGGCAATTCCACTTTGGAGGATAAAATGTGATATAGATGGTGAAAACATAAAAACTAATTGCCCAAGTCATAATAATTGAAACAGGTAAGAAGAACCACCACAATGGAACACTCCTACTAGTAATCTCCATACAATCTATCAAGCCCTAATATGTAATCCTATAAATTGACAAATATACTAAATTTCACAAAATAAAGATTTTGTAAAGCTAAGGTTTGGGAAGCTGAGGGGACTTCAATGCAAGTCATGCAGATTGAACTGGAGAATGATGTACTCTTGTTTTGGAAATCCTTTTTTACCATCATTGCTATTGGGGTCTATTTTTTTATCTTCTTGGTTGCTTTCTTTTCTTTACTGTGAATTTTTTGTATCTTCTTCTAATAGTTACGTGATTGGATTCTTGCAAGCCCTTGCAGCATTGCTTGAGATATGTAAACTTTTAAGTTCAAGTATTTCTTGGCTTCCAACCTTTAAGTTTTTATTTTAGTTATTTGCATGCCGATTTCTTTGATCAGATTGAAAGGGTATTGATGTTTGATGGGTAACATATTATACTTGTCAATATAAGAACTAGTGTGACATAGTAGTACTTTTGGCATTGATTTCCTATTCGCAACTCTATTATGAGGTATTTCCTCCTTTCTTCCTCAATTGTTATGCTATATATTGTTTCAAATCACAAAAACAGTTTTGATGATACCAAAATGGCTTTCCTGGTGGCAACATGTAAAACGAGCAACTGCAGAATTCTTGTATGAAGTAGAGTTTTTCAGCGCGTTCAGACAACTTAATCTTGTTTTGGCAGTTGAGCTTGACTTGAAATCTTTCTAAAGTCAAGAGCTGGATAGATTTGAGGCGATAGCTCTGGCGACCAGGAACAATCGTGGATGAGGATTTAGTAATGAAAAGAAATCACGATCATGAAGTCAAAAGACTTCATTAATTAAGTACTTTATCTTCATCCACAATACTAAATTGCTCCTCAAACTTTTGCATAAAGAAAAATCAATTAACAGAGAAGAAAGATTAAGAGATGCTTACCATCTACCTCTGAGTTCTCCAGGTTATTGGGTAAAAATAAAATTCCCTAGGATGCATTTAGCAAACGTTATAAGAGTTTTTAGCTTACTTGTGGGATGGTCCATCAAAATGTTGAGTTCCTGTAAGTTCTGTGGGACGATTTCCCGTTTAACGTTGAAGCTGATTGAGCTTGCTAATTTTCTAGATTAGTTTCTTTTCTAACAGGCTGAGAGCTATTCGCTTTGAACCGAAAGTTACACTCGGACAGTCTCATGGATTCACCTCGAGTTTATTGTGTTCCATGAGGCACTTGTCAGTACGAGGTAAAAGAAGTCAATGGTGCTGGAATCAATGTGAGCAAGCCAGGTATTGCTTTGTACTTCCTCAAAGAGTAAAGGCATAAACGTTTTGGCTTCTTTCTGCAGTCACTCATACAACACAGATTTCCTGAAGTAGCTGGTCTCCAAGACGTGATGGTACTTTAAAGAGAACTTTTCTTTTCTGTACGTAGAGATTGTGGATGCTTTGTTAGAGGTGCTTATTTAAGTGCAAGCCATCTTTTGCAGGTCACTGGTTGATGCTATCAGGAAATGCTAGAGGATGGATGCATCCTCCAGTCAGCATTTGATGGATGTTAGTGCAGGTAAAAGAATTATTGCTAGAAACTCTTACAACTTTCTTGTTGCTTTTTGAATTTCCAGACACTGGACATCTGCATTTGCTGGATACGATTGCTTTGAGAATTACTTGCGAGTGGAGACATGTTAGTTGTTCTCTTATTCTTGTTTGTCTTGCTAGCTCTCAGCTCAGACTTGCCTAAGAGCATTGGCATACATGGAGTCAGAAAAACATCAAAGACTTGACAAGCCTCATGGACGAGCCTTTGATGCCAAGACTGTAGGACAAAATGCTTGATGCAGTTGGATATCTATTAGTGCAGAAAGCTCCATTCTACTTCGGAATTGCTCGCAGCCATGGCATTGAAGACACCTCCTTGCATAGACAAACAACTAGAGACAAAAAGATTGTTTGTTTGCATTTAGCAAGAAAACACATACAAGAAGAGCTGCTTTCTATCTTCTGCTTCTTGCGAATGAAGGATAGGATGAAGAAAGCTACATTTGCAAATGCAGTAGTAACGGCTCCTGTGACATGGGCATAATCTGTTTCCCAATGGGAGAAAACTCCCCAAAACAAAGCTGAAACAGTGAGGGAAAATTAAGGGAAAGGTATAAAGTATTGTCATATAAACTCTTATTACCTAAACTCTATAAAAAAACCTTTGTAAAAGTGTTATCCCATAAACCCCATAACAATGTCTCTTTACAAAGACCCTGTTAAACTCCATTGGAAAAATAATCATTCTATCCAAAATTATATTGTAAACTACTCAACACTTGCTAAATAGAGGCAAATACTCTAATATGTACTTTAGCTTATGTACAAATTGTGTGTTATGCTTGGTATTTCTAAGTTTTATAGACTAATTCAAATGCAGGTAAGATTCCAAGGGAATGGAGGTCTTTTTGGTGCAAAAATACATAGAAATCCTCCAAAAAACCTTGATTTCCGTGTATACTATGTTCTTTTTATCAAAACAACAATAATGACTAGAGCTCTCACGACATCCACCACATATCACATAGGCATTAATTTTGAGAAGATCATGACTGATATATCTACCTCAACTCTATAGTATATTAGCTCATTTTTCCAAACTTATCAAACATATATCTAAAAAATTCATTATAGATATTTTAGTGGTAGAGATAGGTGTTTATCAGGTAAAAATGGCTGCATGCTGAAGAGGTGAGGGTGTTTTCTAAGCTTGTGGTGATGGTAGTGACAACCTTAGAGTTGAGCATGCTCCATCACTTTATGATAGGAATGAAATTCCTTGGTGTTGAGTAGTGGGCTACTATCCAAGTCTTTTATTATCAGTATAGCTAAACACTGAGACTGGCATATGAAAAGCCACAGCTTCAAGAGAAGCTATCAACCAGACTTTAAGTTATGATAATCATCTTTAGCCTCTAGGCTCGAGGAGCAAGTCATGG